AACCCAACAGGGGTTGGGGGAAGGGGTGTGTGAAACTGACCGGAAGTGTCAGGGAGGGCTTCCCTTTCCTTCCCCAGCCTCAGGGCTGCTGTGGGGCTGGGGGCTTCTGGCATCATCAGGCGGTGGGGCAGGGCTCGTGGGTGGTGGGGTCCCCCCCCAATGCCCCACCATAACTACAGGCCTGCCTGCAAGCCCGTGAGGTTTCTCCTGGAGGCAGTGAGGAAGGAAGAGGTGGCAGCATCTGTAAAATGTAAAGTAAACTTTATTGTCCTGGAACCACAAAATAGATTTCTTTGGTTGTACAAATGTCACTAGTTACAGTCTTAACTCCCGTGGAGTGTCCCGGGAGAGAACAGATATGCCACAGCCCAGCACCTAGAGAAGTCATAAGTTAGTCAAAGAAACCCTCCGGATCACCCCCAAAATTGCTCATTAAAAGCAAAGGCTAAAATTAGATTAAAATCCAAAAGCTCTAACTGTTGATGTAGAAGCAGCCACCACGGAGACATCGAGGAGCCCTCATCCAACTGAGCTCACATGTCTGGATAAAACAGCCCGTTGATTTTGGCATGGCGAGGGATTCCGCGCACTGGCTTTCGGCGGGTGGAGCCAGCGCGCAAGAGATTGCGCAGGCAGGGCGCGAACACGGGGCCGGATCCAGTCCCTCCATTTCCCACCACTGGCATAGTGGCGGCTAAGTCACCGGGGCCCACAGCCACCAGTCGCCCTTCTGCGTCCTTCTCCCCCCGCCCCTTTCCCGGGACGGGCCGACGAAGCGGGAAGAGGGCGGGGCCACCGAAGGTGAGCCATGCGCCCTCCCCCTGGCCCTCCGTGGAGCGTGGTGGTGCGCCATTGAGACCTCTCTGGTGCCTGCTTGCTGAGCCACTCCGCTACCCACCGTCCTCTATCCTGCACTACTCCACTCCAAACCCCTGCCCCCCTCCCCGCCACTTATCTGCACCTTCTACCTGCATCACCACATTCTAAACTCACTAGTCGGCCCCTAAACTCTGCTCCCCCACTGCTCTAGCTCTGCTCCTGCTGGGCAGGCACCACAGCGCTTGCCTCCTGACCTCGTGTGGAAGTGGGCCTGATGTGCCACTGCTGCTTCACACACACACACACACACACACACATGCACACACCCCTCTCTGTAAAACAGGCCACGCCCTGTGCTCCGTATCACACCCGTCCCCCACGGAGGAGGAGGGCGGTGGCAGAAACCGGGAAGGCCCTTTCTCTCCTTGGCCAGTTGGCAACAGGGCTCTGTCCTTCACGCCACTCCCCCCCCCACCGCCGCCGCCGCCGCTCAGTGTGTGACTGGCCCACTGGCCATTTGGCAAATACCTGCTGGGGCTAAGGACAGGGCCCGTGCCAGTCATCAGGAAGCAGCTGCCGCTTGCTCTCACGCTCCCATGTGCTCCCATACAATAGTTCACACACACTGCACACCAGAGCTCCCTCCCTCCTAAGCCCCGGCTAGCCCTGGTCTGCTCGGAACCTGCCCCAGAGGGCATCGTGAGGAGAGGAGGAAGATTCACAGCCTGAAAGGAGGTTGTTGAGCCTTCGGGGGGCTCGGTTCTGTCCAGTGTCACCGAGGAGGAGGCAGCAGCCGGTGCCAGTCCACACGGTCCGCAGGGCGGGCGCCCTCGCTTGGTTCTGGCGTTGGCCCAGAGGGCGGGACCTCTATGTTGGAACAGCCGTTTCCAGGCCGTGCTGAGCATGCCGGAGCTTGTGCTTGCTGCTGAAGAGGCCCAGCTCCTCCCGAGGGGAGGCGCCGGGGGTCGAGGGGCCGTGCGGCACTAAGACCTCCTGGTCCTCCGCCTCTCCGTCCTTCTCTTGGCTCGCTGACGAGGGAACACACAGAGAGACTCCATGCAGCCTCCATGCAGTGGAGAAATGCAGCCCCGAGCGCTCCTCTCTAGCACCAGGGCGCCCCCCCCCCCAGGCTGTGTTGCCCACTTCCCCCTGCAGGAGGCCAGTCAAGCAGAAGGGGCTGAAACCCAAAGAGCTAGCAAGCCGGCCGACCACCCTGGGTGCTGCGGGGGCCGGGCACCCTGCCACAAGCCCTGCCTTGGGGAGTGGGTGAGACAGCTGCCTGGCTGGCCCCAAGTCCCAGCAAACCCCTCCCTGTCCGAGTCGCAGGCGGCAGCAGGGCATGCTCAAAGGCCAGCCAGGAACAGCCGCACGGGAGGCACACCAGCCGAAGAGCCTCTTTCCTGCACTGCTGACAAGCGAAGAGAAGCCAGAGCCCATTTTGGAGCAGGGCCTGCAGAGACCGAGCAGGGCGGGCGGGCACAGAAACATCACGTGCTGAGGAGTCCGGGGGTCACCGGCACATACTTGGCAAGTCCCAGAAACGTTTGGTGCCGTCTGTTAGGCTTAGGGACTGCCGCCCTAAACCCCCCCCTCTGGGGAGGCCTCTGCCTCCTGGCACTGCCCTGCAAGAGCAGCTCCCCGGTGGGAAAGCCTCCGGCTTGCTGAGCTCACGCTCTGCGTGACTCTGGAGTCTCGGCTACCAGCCGGCTCTGGGGGGGTTCCATGGGAGCCCACCCTGTTGCCTGAATGGGCCTCCAGTGACGGGCCCCCTTTCTCCACAAGCTGCTGGCCGCGTTGGGGGCCTCCCTTTGTCTACCTCACAGCAGCTGTGGGTGGGGCTTGCTGGATTACCGCTCCCAACTGCTTCGGGGGGGGGCCGCCCAGACAGCCCCCACCAAGGCTCCCGGATCCTTGTCACAAAGTGCAGAAAGGAACAAGCAACAGCCTCAAAAAGCGGGGGGGGGGGAGGTATCTCCGGACTGGCCCGCTCCTGAGGCCGCTGAGAGGGCCGGGAGACAGGTCCGCTTCAGGCCGGCCACTCACCTGAGCCGCTGGCATCGTGGAGGAGTCTGCAGGCTCTGCCGCCATCGGGAGTCTGGGAATGACAAGCAACCCGGCATTAATCCCTGGTCATCCCGGGGCCTCCTGCCCTTTTCCGGGGTCCCAGCCAGAGCTGGATTTCCTGGCCCCAGCAGCACCCTGTGCAACGAGTAGCAGAAGCGGCGGCAGCAGGAGGAAGGGTAAACGGGGGGGGGGGGGGGAACGCAGCACCCACAAAGGAGAGCCGCTGGACGGAGGCACAAGCGGGAGGCACAAGTCTCCACAGCAGCCTCAGCCCCACACAGAAGCTCCAGAGGCCCTGAGCCCCCGTCTCTCTCTCTCTCCCTCCCTCCCTCCTCCTCGGCCCAGACCCCCCACCCCCCTCCCTGGCCATGAGGAAAGGGTCTCCCATATGTGGGTGGGGGAGGGTCAGGCTGGCAGCCCGGGGGGGGGCTCCTCCCCAAAAGATATTCTCCCCCCTCCCCCACACCTCTGGGTTGTTGAACCACAGAGAAGCCGCAGACCCCACCCTTGGCCTGGCGTGCCGTTCTCGGGCGGCTGGTGTGGACCACGCAAGGCACGTGTGCGTGGAGGAAGAGCTGCTGTGGCGCCCCGAAGGGGCCCTGCGGACGCCAGTCCCCACGTCGACCCTCCTGCCTGCATGAGGGAGCGGCCGGACCTGCCGGCCCTCAGACCCCTCACGGCCCCCAGCAGACGAGAGCAGCGGCCCATCCCCAGCGCAGAGGGCGAGGGAGGGGGAGATCTCCCCGAGGCACGCCTGCTGGCCCAGCGCCTCCGAGGGCACCCTCCCAATCCAGCCCCCGCTCCCCCCACAGCCCCCCCTCCTTAAGAGGCCCAGAGCCCAAGAGGCAGGCGTCACCGCGGAGGGCGAAAGGCACAAGGCTGCGCCACCGCGCCCGAGGCCCCCTGACCCGGAGCCAGCCCTTCGGTCTCTCCCACGCAAGGGAGGTCCAGAGTCCCAGGCGGACCGGGCCGCTCAGCACCTCTCCCATGATCTTTTAAAACGGGGGACACTGCAAAGGGTTTGGCCCCGGGGCCTTCTGCACGCCAAGCAGCGTGGCTCTCCTCCCCCGGCTCTCCCCGGCATTCCCTACCACGGAAAAGTGGCCACACACTTTCCACATACAGAACCCCTCCCGTGCTGGAAGAGACCACCCACTAACCCCAAGGGGCTCCAGTTGAAGTGAGCAGGACTCTTACGAAGACAGGGACTTCATCCCAACAGAATGGGTGTCCTACTGATGGGAGGAAGGAAGGAAGGAAGGTCTCACCCAGGGAATGGGGTGTCTCCAGCTCTGGATGGGGTTGCGCTCCCCCTAAAGGGGCAGGGGTTCGTAGCTGGGGGGTGCCCCCCAGGGATCCTGTGAGATAAACAGGTGGCAGGAGTGGCCGGGATCGCCCCTTAGCTGCTTTGGCCGGTGAGGCAACTACAGCCCTTCCTCGGCAGGCGGGGTGATCTTGTCACTATGAGGCATCCCCAGAAAACACCTCAGTTAGATGACTGCAATGAGCTTTCCACGGGGCTGCCCTTGTAGACTGCCCGGAAGCAACCATTGGTGGAGGAGGCTGCTGCCGCCGCCAGAATGCTTGGGCTGCCCCGGTCTCCACGCAGATCAGGCCAGTGGCGGCGGGAGGAGAGGGCCTCCTCGGGCACTGGCACTCCCCCCCTGGGGGGAGAGCCACCCCTCAGGCTCCACCGCTGCCTTCTGCCTCTGTGGAGGAGGACTTCTTTGTTGCACTCTTTCTGGCCTCTCTCTTAATGTCTGGAGTGTCTTGGCGTTTGCCAGCCCGGGGGACTGTGAGCTGGGTGCAGAGGTGGCTCAGGGATGCTTTAAAGGAAGCCAAGGACACGGTGCCCGGCCAGCTCAGGCCAAAGTCCCTCCCGTCTCCGCCAAAGTGGCAGGGCCAGGCAGCAGTACCGTGAGCAGATCCAGCGGCCCACGGATGTCAGCAAAGCGCTCCCAAAGAGGGCCGCCCAAGATGTCGCCGACTCAGCGCCACAAGGGCCAGCCCAGTGTCACCGAGGAGCCCTTCCCCGCGTGCCTGGAGGCTCCTTGTGCCCTCACTGGCACCTGGCTGCCCCACCCTGCATGCTGCTGGTACCTGGATCTCATAAACAGGTTTGGAAGAAGGAATGGCGGCAAATTCCCTGTAGACAAACTTCTTTTCAGGCACAGACTGGAAGGATCAGCACAGAAAGGGAGGCAGGAGACAGAGAAAGAAAGAGGACAGATGAGCAGGGAGTGCCCCGGGGCTCAAGGGGGAGGCTCAGGCCAGGCAGAGACCGGCTGGCCGCAGGAGACACCCAACTCTTCTCAAGCAGGGGGCAGAGAGGAGAGAACCAGAGAGGGGTATGAAGAGTGGACCGGTTTCAAGTGGGTCAGAGATAAAAACAGGCTCAATCCGACTGCCTGCTCAGAAGAAAGCTCTCCCGGCAGGGACCTCGGCACATCTCAGCACGGCGGTGGACTCCAGCACCCCAGTGCCGCTTCAGGAAAGCTACCCACTCCTCCTTTGCCAGATACCAAAGTGGGATGACCAAGAGGGCCCTGCGCACCTCAAGGGGAGGCCATCAAGGACACCCCGTGGCTGAGTGGAGAAGCATTCGTGACCCCTGGAAGACAAGGATTCCCCCCCCCCTCCGGTGAGTCTTTGCAGGCAGGGGCCCACACGGAAGGCCACTCAATCACCAACGCTGCCACCACGCTGAGGGACACACAGCCCTTCCTTCCCAGGTGCTGCAATGGTAGACTGTGTGGGGGTGACATATCTCACACCACCAGCGGAAAGGATAGCCAAGCAGAAGACCAGAAGAAGGGAGGGGGGGGGAAAGCTGCTGGCCAGGCACACAGCAGGGGAAGCCCATCCACGCTGGACGTGACGGGGGGGGGCCCAAAATGGACTCCCTCGCGTTACCCAAGGGACTGGCATGTGCCAGGCCTCAGGAAATCCCACTGGCTGGGCCCCAGGAGGCCTTGAGAAGCGGCACCCCAAGCCCATCCCGACCCCCTGTGCCATGGCCCTGCCGCCTACCAGCCTGCCTGGCGAAGCGATGCTCCGGGAGCCGCAGTCTGCAAGAGAGGAGGTCACACAGTCAGCAAGCACGGCACCACAGGTCGTCCCCAACCGGGCGACCTCCCTCCTGCCCTCTTCCTCCCCCCCAGGTCCGTGGCCTTGGGAGGAGAGGCTACGAAATAAATACCCTCCAGGGGGGTTGGCGAGGGCGTGGGGGCGGGCGGGGGGGGCTCTGCCAGCTGCTCCAGTGTGCTGCGCTTCTTGCCCTCCTTGGATTTGGCAATCACCATCTGGGCCTTGAGAGCGTCTTGCTCCAGAGACTTCATCCTGTCCAGGGAGAAGAATGAGAAGCCAGCGGTGAGGGGACCCGGCACCCCAGGATTCGAGAGGCTTCAGCAATCCCAGCACAAACCAGACTCCTTCCTTGCCTGCTGCGAGACCCTGAGACTGTACGCTTGGCTGAGCCAACGTCAGGGACTCCCTGCCAGGTGGATGTGAGCCCCCTCCCTCCCCCGCTAAGAAGGTGGCGGGTGGAGAAGGGATTTGGGCTCCCGCCAACATGCAGCAGCAGCACCTCAACTCAGGGTCCCTGGCCACGGGCAGGGTGAGGGGGGGGGCCCGCTCAGCACCAGGGGGTGGGGTGGGAGCTCTGCACACCTTGCTTGGCCCGCAGGCCCCGGCGCTCGCATGACTGGGCCCTGCCCTGCGGCCTGTTGCCGGGCCTGGTACAGCCTCCGGGCCAGGTCCTGCTCGTACTGTTTAACACTCTCTTCTAGGGTGGAAGAGCTGAGGAGGAGGAGAAGAGGAGGAAGACGACACAGGCATCATGATGGGAAAGCAAAGAGGGAGAGAGAGAGAGAGAGAGAGAGAGAGAGAGAGAGACGGGGGAGCACAGAAAGGGGGGGAGAGACGGGCCACGCAGCGTCCACGCCGTTAGCTCTGGCGGGGGGGGGGGGGGGGCCCCCCCTGAGCGCCATGGCCGCCGGGACCACCACGAGAGGCTCCAGCCACCGGAGGAGGAGAGTGGGAGGCGGAGGAGGGAGCACCAGTGCCCGTTTCGACATTCAAGGAGTCCAGAAGCCGGATTGGGGGATAACCATCCACGGGGGATGCTCCGCCAAAACAGAGTGTGCGCCCCCCACGAGGGGGGGGGGACAGCACGTGCACAGACAGATGCACAGTGGAGGCACTGCAGTCTGTCCCAGGCCACACTGGAGAGAAGGAGCTTACCCACCCACCCACAGAAAGCTGGCTGCAAAGGCAAAGCCCTGCCCACTCACAATGGCCACCACAGAGCCTGGCTGGCATCAGCTCCCTCCCCCCCACTAAGGCCAAGCAGCAAAGGCCACAACTCTGGAGAGCAGGAGACCCCCGTGGCTGGGGGGGGGGGGGGGCCTGAAGCCCCCCCCCAGCCAACAAGCCCCCCCCCCTGCAGGGTCTGGGCCGCCTGCTGCACCGGTGCCCTTCCTGCCATGGAGGAACAGGGCTGCCAGAGGTGCCCCAGCAGCAGCGCCCGCTTCAGAGCCTCAGTGCTTCTGAAAGCAGGCTGGTGAGCTGGCCACAGGGTGGTCAAGCCAAGCCTGGATCCCGAGAGCAGCCGTGGCTGGTCTTGTCCCCCTTCAGCCCCTGCTGGGGAGGGGGGAGAGGTCCCCCTCCAGCACTGCCTCTGCCCCTCAGAGGCTCCCTGGAGCTGGACGGGGACGGAGCTCTGGGCAGCCTCCCCACTGGAGCCCTCCAGCCAAGCCGCAGCCCCATCCTGTGTGCAGCCCTCCACCCACCCACCCACCTCTTGGGCATCACGAAGACTCATCGGCTCCAACACCCGGAGGCAGGAGCCCAACAGTCTTCAAAAGCCTCACGCCCCCACAGCTCTCCGCTCCACCCCAAAGGACTCTTCTGGAGCCATGGGAGCCTTTCAGGGCAGCATCTGGGCATCTGGGGCTGGCAGTCCACGCCTCCCAACACTTACACACAAGACCCCTGGTTCAGCCAAAGAAGAGTGTGCCCCACTGGATCAGCAAAAACCGGGCCACCCCTCTCCCCCCCCCCAAATTCCAGCTCAGCAGAGACCCTGCCAAATGTAAGGGCCACAGGAGGAAGAGTTATTCTCCCCCAAAAGAGAGGCAGATCCAGATTAGCATTTCAGGGGCTGTTTAAGTAAGGTTTCCTACAGAGAATGTGATCGAGGGCAATTAGAACTGGACTTCAGGTGAAAAATTAGGCAGGAAAGAATCGTATCTAAAAGGACTGGACCCTAAAAAGGAAATAAAGACACAAGAAAGAGAATGAGGAACTAGCGCTGGCAACTCTGCCAAATGCTTTTTTAAAAGCAAAATTAAAGATATGAAAAACCAATTAAGCAAAGGAAACCAGAGGAGAGATTAAAGGAGAGAGATCATGAATGGAGGAAACAAATAGGGAGCAGAATTTCAGAAATGAGACTGAACACACACGACAAATTATTAGATTTAGCTCAAAACTGATAGATTCAGGACAGGACATTAATAATTACAAAATAAAACAGAAGGGTTTAGAGAGGAAGATCATGCAACAATTATATGACACAAGATCTTGAGACTATTTAACAGCTAACTGGAAGCAGCAGATGATGAGATTAAACAGGCTAACGTAACCCTGAAAGGTGAGGTCCAAGGGCTGGAAGTGCCAAACTGGGAAAATCAGGAGATTAGTGGGAGCAGCAACTGATGCTGCCTCTGAAATCCACCACATCTCAAAAAAAGGATACTGTAGAGCCAGACCCCTCTCAGAGAGGAGGGCCACAGCCACAGGAGGAGGAGGAGGAGGAGGAGAAGGAGAAGGAGGAGGAGGCGGCAGCTACAAGAGGGGACTGGATAAACACAATGGAGCAGAGGTCCATCCGTGGCCCCTATATGAGCCACCAGGTCTAGACAGGCACTCTCTGTCTGGGGCAAGGGAGGCTCTGCATTCTTGGTGCTTGGGGGGGGGGGTGGGGGCAACAGTGGGAGGGCTCCTAGTGTCCTCCTGGCCCCGCTGCTGGACCTCCTGGTGGCCCCTGGTATTTCTGGCCACAGAGTGTTGGACCGGAGGGGCCTTTGGCCTGGTCCAACGCTGGCTTCTCTTAGGTTCTTATGAATGAGGTGGTTGGAGCCCCTTCCCCTTCAAGGAAAGGCTGGAGAGTCTGGGATTTCTCCGTTTAGAGAAGAGATGGCCAAGGGGAGACACGATAGCGGTTTTTAAAACTATGCACAGGGGAGACAAGCGTGGACTGCGAGCCCTTTTTCTCCCTCTCCCAGGATACTAGAACTCACGGATATCCAATGAAGTTGATGGGCTGTAGATTCAAAATGGAGAAAAAGAAATACCTCTCTACATGACAAGTGATTGAAATGTGGAATTCACCGCCAGAGAACTAAGCGATGGCCACAGGCTGTCAGCTACGCTGCCACGGGGGTTGGGGAGCTCGGTCTGTGTCTGGTTAATGGCTACTGCATTCCCTTCTGTGCTTTTTCTGCTTTGCACTGAAATGCTTATCTATACAGATGTGCAGGAGGGAGTTGTGTTGTCTGGGTTTTTCCTAGGTGCCGTGGGAGAGTGTTGGTTCTCCGCTTCAGCTACCTAAGAGTCTCCAAGCTTCATCTCACACGCGGGAGGGTGCCTAATTGGCCAGGGCTCTGGGGGTGTGTGCATACAAATACCCTATATCCTATTATGCCCAAGGGGCCGCCGCCATTCTTAACAGTGCTTATGTTACTGCATCTATAGCTCTGCAATAAAAGCATGACCATTCTTGAATGCATGTACTTCGTTGTTGGCTGTGGGTTCTGACACAGGCATAGCAGGCTTTAAAAGAGGATTAGACAGATTCATGGAGGACGAGAGGTCTATCAGTGGCCACTCACCATGATGGTGACTCAAGGGAACCTCCACATTCAGAGGCAGCAAACTTCTAAATCCCGGTTCCAGTAGGAAGCATCGGGGGAAGGTCTCAGCTTCTATGCCCTTATCCTGGCCCTCCAGAGGAACTGGCCGGCCACTGTGAGAGACAGGAGGAGGCTGGACTAGAGGGACCCTCGATGGTCCAATCTAGCAGGGCGCCTCTTAAGTCAAAACTGGCCGTGCAGCCAGGACATCATCTGCTCATCCTGTAAACCAGAAGTTTTTTTGCCCCACAGCACCAAAAGCTGCAAGTGCCAATGGTTACGCTATTTGGCAAGGTCATTCATGTACTCCTCTAGACCAATACAGAGCCAGGCACACAGAACCAAAAGAAACCCACTGGATTTCTTTAGAAAGAAACAAAACATTGGACTTAAAGCAAGGGTTTCTCCTCCTCAGTGGACTGGAAAGTATCTTAGACCTGGAAACAACAAGGGACGGAGAGAAAACACATCTTCCAATCCACTGATGAGGAGAAACCCTCACAGCAAGTCCAACATGTTGTCTTCATCTGTGAAGAGAAGAGATTGGATTTATACCCCATGGCCCTTCACTACCCAAGGGAGTCTCAGAGCGGCTTACAAACTCCTTTCACATCCCCTCCCCACAACAGACACCCTGTGAGGTAGGCGGGGCTGAGAGAGCTCAGACAGAACTGCCCTTGAGAGAACAGCTCTGACAGAACTATGGCTTGCCCAAGGTCAACCAGCAGCTGCAAGTGGAGGAGTGGGGAATCAAACCGGGTTCTCCCAGATTAGAGTCTGCGCACTTAACCACTACACCAAACTAGACAGGATGCTGAAAAGCTGTATCAAGCCGGGTGGGTGAATCCAATGAGCAAATAGCAGGAGAATCCTTGCTGTAGGACATGCATGCCCAAGGCAGCCCCTGAAAAAACCTAAGTGTCCAGCTTGTAGTGCCTGACAACAGATAAGGCAGAAGACCAGGTGGGGGCCACAACCTAGAAGGCCCTCCCCCTGGTGACAGCTAACCGAGCCATCCTGGGGCCAGGCACCTGCAAAAAGGATGACCGAAGGGAGCACCAGGGGTTGTAACAGGAGAGAGGTCCCATGGCTATGAGGATCCCAGACCACGGAGGGCTTTAAATGTTAGCACCAACACCTTTAATTGGATCCAGAGACTACCTGGTAGCCAGTGCAGCTGCCACAGAACTGGAGTAATATGAGCAGACCTTGAATGTTGCCGCTGCATTCTGGACAACCTGCAGTTTCTGAAGTGTTTTCAGGGGTGGCCCTATGTCAAATAGTAGTCCAATGCAGAGGTGACAGCTGCATGGATCATAGAATCACTGAGCTGGAAGGGACCTCCAGGGTCATCATCCAACCCCCCGCACAAGGCAGGAAATTCACAAATACCTCCCCCCCACACCCCCAATGACTGCTGTTCCA